CTTATACTGACTTAACAACATCGCATATTCCCTCTACACCTTCCTAAATCCCGTATTCAACACTGAATGCAATCTTGTGAGCTCGTCACTCCCACAATCCTCAGTACCTTATACTCTTATCAGTAGAAATGCAGGCAAGCGGGGAGGAGAGGGGGGGAGAAAGTTAGACAGTGCAAAAAAGGGAGTGAAGCTGCAGGCATGAAGATTAACCATGTGAGTGCTGGAAAGTAACAAGACAGAAGGACAGAGACTTATACGTTTGGAAACCAGAAATCTTTGACGGGAGAAACGGACTGGAGGTGCAGGGAGCTGCAGAGAGAGGATGAGGGTGACGAGATCTGTAGGACTGATGGGGGGGGGAGAATAGGGATCCATCAGCATCCAGTAACACAATTATTATAATACACAAACAATCTTAAACCTTTGTGATCAATATCTTCCTCAACCTATCCCTTTTGCTGAATAGCTCTTGCTACTCGGTACCAGGCTTCTGCTGTACAAACCAAATCTTGGTCCGACAGCTTCCCTTTCTTCTCTGTCAGTAACTTACGCCAGCTCTCTGGCTACAATCTGCCGCACAGAGGTACGGTAATTCCACATACTTTAGCAATCTTACTCACTTTCTTAACCATCTCTTCTCCTTCTCTGTCTTCCACTAGATCACATGCTAACCAACCCTTACTGGGTTTATCTAACTTCTGTCCCATCCTCCCTATATAAGGCGTCCCAGATATAGAGAGAGAAAGGAACAGAACGTCTACCGTGCTCGACTGCTACTTTAAGAGCAAGCTCTTTAAGTACGTCTTCCCAAAACGTAGACTAGTCACTGATTCCGCCTACCCGTGGTAGCCGCGGATTGGAGCGTGGCGAGAAGTGTGTGACCAATCACTTCTCTCAACAGAGAAAGAGAAATAGGAGGGGAAAGTGTAAATAGTACAGTGAGTAAGATAGAAGTAAACACAGGAATCTGTGTGACAGACAATTAAGACAATAACATTTCAGTGTAAATACAGTGCATGCATCACAGTTCAAATAAATTCAACAGTTTTATCCCTTGCCTTTACTCGTGTGGCCAAAAGCCACCTCCCTCAACCTCGTAGTGTCCCTGTTGCGGACCCACCCGCAAGTCTCACTACCAGCAGCCACAGGAAACAGCAACAGCTTCCAACCCGAATCCTGTATAGCCTAAAGAATTGGAATCTTACCTGCCTCAGCGCTCGAGGCTGGAATTTTACCAAGAAGCTAAGCGGTCAAAATGACACTCTGGGGAACCCCCAGGAAGCAATGAGTCTACATCATCCTCCACAGATTCCCCCTACTCTTTTTCCTTACAGCCACAGCCACGTGGCTCCTAAAAGAGTTAAACAGGCAATAGAGGACCCCCAGGAAAACTTCCACAGGTCCACCCCCCTTTTTCCTTACTACCACAGGCACGTGGTACCTAAAAGGAGTTAAACAGGCACTTACACTCCCCGGGTACTAAGTTAAACACATACCAATACAAACACACCCAGGCAACAGATAGTCAACATGCAGGTAAACTAGGTATCATTAACAATACAAAGACTCTGGGCAAGTTATTACCTGACTTTGATGTCCTCTCGGCAGCAGTCACAGACACTGGGATAGGTCAATCACAGGGGTAGGAACATACCGGCTAGGTGCTGCAGCAATCTCTACCGTGTATTCAGAGGTGATCAGGCTCTTTTCCTTCCCCCAGGATTCAGCCCCCCCAGCGTCTTCTTGGACAGCTGCCCAGGCAGGACATAGCCCAGAGCCCCACGTTGGAAGCGCCAATTTGTCGTATATAATTTACTGCAAACCAATTAGTTTGAATGACTATCTGTTCCTGTCCAAATTAAAGATAATAAAGTTGCGTGCACGCAGAAGTAAATTCACACTGAGACACAAGGTTCAGGGTAATGAAAGAACTTCAGAGAAGTTTAATGGCTTCTGACAGAAAATGGGTGCGCAGACCCTTATAAAGGCATTATTACATCATTGAAGAAAATCAAGATATAGACAAATAGACATTGTTAATTGGCTTAGGTGCTAAGATGTTAGTAAAATGCCCTCCCCATTCTTAGGTCACTATCTACGTAATTTCTTAACTCCTACAGGTTTTAGCGCCATTTTGCTAACATGAGGAGTTCACTCGACGGGAGGGGCCTTTTGGCAGCTATCCATTTAGAGCGTAGCTGGCACTTGTTAGTTTCTCAAGGTTAAGTTTCAAGGCTTTTAGTAAATACACATTTTATCAAAGCTATTTCTTGCTGACATGCAAATTCTATGTTCTATAGACAAAGCTTTCTTGTAAAACTATGGGGGCCTCTTAGAGGTATAGCAAGAGGATTTAAAGGGGCCTTACAGATTCATAGAGGCCTAATAATTCTACAACAATTGTATGTGTTAGACAAGTATGCCTAGTTTGATTGGGTGTAGGTTAGCGTTTTGTCTGAGATGGTCTAGGCGCATGAGGAGGAGATTTTGCTTTTCATCATCTTAGAAACATAGAAACATAGAATGTGACGGCAGATAAGAACCATTCGGCCCATCTAGTCTGCCCAATTTTCTAAATACTTTCATTAGTCCCTAGTCTTATCTTATAGTTAGGATATCTAAGTTAGGTCAGGCTGAAGAAGCCCTGTGTAGGTGCCATATAGTGATCCCTTGGGGGGGGGGGGATTGTCACTTAAGGGTTCGGGAGTATTGTGTATGTTGCTTCTCTGTGGGTAGGTCACGTTTTGCATCTGACTGAGTAGGCTCTATACTGAGCTGGTTGCCAGGGTGTGTGGTATCAGGGTTGCCTAGTGAGCATCAGGTGAGTTGGTAGGTCTCGTGCCTGAGGGTTAGTGTATAACTAGTGTAGGGAAGAGAGTGAGGGTGTGAGTATATACGCTCCATTGTGTAGTTCGCCCACTCCTGAGGGGGGTATTTGTTGGGGATTATGGGGGGTAATCGCCATCTCGGTCGTGTAATTGTCAACCCAAATTCGGGTTTTCATGACTAGCCGTCGTGTAGTTTAAAAACATAAACTGAAGCATTAATGCTAAACGTTGAACACATTTTAAACAGTAGGGCTTTGTTGGGGTGTTCGGCTGTCTTGTCGAGTTGCGTTTAAGTATTTAGTGTTCAGTCCTGCTAAGGCTCCATTTCCCGTGATGTGGCGGCTCTCGGTGTGAATATGGCCGTGTTCACTGGGTCCCAGGCTTTGGATGGTTTGTCTTGTGTTCTTACGGTCTGGCCTGCTATGCCTAGTGATGCAAGGAAAGAGGGTATATCTGCCCCTGCTTCTAGTGTGTGGACAGTCCCGTTATGCGTAGCATACAGCGTTCCAGGGGGGCCCCATCTGTATGTCACCCCAGCTGTTCTGAGTTGGGAAGTGATCGGTGCCAATGATTTGCGCCATTGCAGTGTGGCTCGTGTGAGGTCCTGGTAGAAGGTTAGAGAGGCGCCTTCAAAGGACAGCGGTGTTTTACCCTTCAGGGCTAGCATAATCTGGGCCTTATCCTGAGAGGTGGCGCAGCGGAGTATGACGTCTTGCATTTGGCCTGGTTTTGCCGTGGGTGAGCCTGGTAGTCGAAATGTTCCTTCAATGGTTAATTTCCTGGTCACTGGGTGAGGTGAGATGGTCGCCATCAATCGCCTGGCATAGTGTGGTAGTTCATCTGCGCTAATGTTAGCAGGGACTCCCCTTATCTTAACATGGTTGCGGCGTAGTCTGTCTTCAAAGGCCGTCAGCCTGAGCGACAAGGCTGATTGGTGCACTTGGAGCTGAGTAACTGTGTCTTTAATTGTGGTCAAGTCAGAGTTAATGCTGCCGATGTTTGTTTCAGCTTGTGTTACTCGGCCTGTGACTGCCTGTATGTCTGCTTTTATTTGCTGGAGGTCTGCAGCCCAGACCTTGTGTATGTCTGCCAGCAGTGCCTTTAAATCAGCTTTGGTAGTGGGAGCTGTGCCATCATAGGGCTCTTGGGATGGGGCCTGATCTGTCTGCAGGGCTTGTGTGATCCCTACCTCATCACTCTGCCTCATGGCTTCAATGTGTGTAGGCTGCAGTACCTCTGTGGAGGGTGTTTTGCCCGGCGCCGGTCGTTGCAGCATGGTGCCAATATCCCTGCACTCTGCCGCTGTGTGTGGTTTTTGGGACCGACGTCCCATTGCTGGCATTTGATGTGGGGATGAGGTGTCTGGGAGTTGCAGGCTGTGTCCCACTCTGCCGATTGCGAGTAGGTCATCCAGGCTGTAGGCTGGCGTTGCGCAGTAGGCCCCAGACCTGCGTTTTATTTTTGCCTGTCTGGGCGGCTGGAAGAACGGCATCGACGGATGCAGGAACTCTCGGTGAGGTAGGTCGGCCGGGTTGCGTCGCCTTATGGGGTAGGATGCCCGCGATTTTCGGTGGGTTTTAGGCGAATTGCGGGGAGCTGGCTGAGATGGCGTCTACCCTCGTTGGCCGCAAGCTCCGCCCCCCCCCTGTTTGGTTGATTTTATGAGGTGATAGCCTGGTAGAGATGTAGCAGCTACTGAGGGTCCGTTATAAAAAGCCCGGCTCTCTCTTGTCTCTCTAACCCTGAATCTGTATCCACATGGCCCTCTCTGCAGCTACTGAGGGTCCGTTATAAAAAACCCAGCTCTCTCCTGTCTCTCTAACCCTAAATCTGTATCCACATGGCCCCCTCTGCAGCTACTGAGGGTCCGTTATAAAAAAAACCAGCTCTCTCCTGTCTCTCTAACCCTGAATCTGTATCCACATGGCCCCCTCTGCAGGTACTGAGGGTCCGTTATAAAAAAACCCAGCTCTCTCCTGTCTCTCTAACCCTAAATCTGTATCCACATGGCCGCCATGCGGTTTCTGACCAGGCATTTAGTGAGGGCTTGTTTCTAAATGTACAGTTGTATCTGTTATAAATGGATGCTAGCAGCAGAGTTTAAACCTGCTGTTTATTTGAGGTAGATCAAGGGTGCATGGTGTAGCGGAGTAGCAGTATAATCCACGGTATCTCCGCTGGTAGTCAGGATAAAGCAGGTAAAACACAGGCAGCGTAATAATAATCCCTCTTCCCCAAGGACTAGATGACACATAGTCTGGGAGCCAACTGTCATTTTATTCCACGGTCACAGTATTTAAGCAAGTCCCCATGCAAGGGGTTTCCTGAATGACATTGCAGGGGTTTTACTACAGAGGACTGTGTGGGGAACTTAGCCTGCATGGCTTTTTCCCAGCATGCCTTGCTGTACAGGAGAGATAATTGTGCAAGAATGTACTGTTAATTCACTGATTTTACTATTACCATGATGTAAAGTCATGATTTTATTAATGACACGGAGGCGAGTATTATGCTGCACTCTTTCTTTATTTCCCTCAGCAGCAAAGAAAAAAACTTTATAAACATAACCAATGATAACATTAACAGTCTCAGGTGTATTCCTCCCAGTAACAGGAACAGCCAATCAGGATCCACTTCTCCAGCATAATAGGCTCTGTCAACCAATCCTGTTCCTCTTTATTTGCAATCCCGAAGGAGTAAAATTATCCAACCAAACGTTAAACTGCATAGAACATGGTTTTTCCAGTAGATGTGGGGTAGATTAGGCTGTAAGAGAGGAAAAATATGGTAATATCTTAGCATAAAACTGAGTGTATGCATATTCATAGATATTCAAGATAGTGTTTGGTCAGTGTTGTGTCCAAGGGAATATTGTTGTTTAACCTAGAAATGTTGGTGGCCAGATAGGCCATTAGTGATCGTAGCTTACTAAGTACAACTGTAATGTAATAATCTGGCGATTACAACTGCAACAAATATACATAGTAAAATGACTTACCATAGGTCAACTTACCCAACTTCCATCTATCCTTCCACCGTCGTCGGGTGGGAGGGAGGGATAATACTCGCCTCCGTGTCATTAATAAAATCATGACTTTACGTCATGGTAATAGTAAAATCCGTGAATTTTATTAAGACACGGAGGCTCCTATTATGCTGGTTGAAAGCTGAGAAACTACCGTTCCCGCAAAGTGGTGTATTGGTTTGAAGTAAAAATAACAGAAGGTAGATTCTGAAGACCAGTCGGCTGCTTTTAGGATGTCTTCCAGGCGACAACCCATCGAAGAGGCTTTGGAAGCCATTGCTCCTCGTATGGAGTGTGGTGAAAATATGGAGGTGTCTATGCCTGCCGTAGCCATGATCCATTTGACCCAGCGAGCCAGGGTCGTGGTAGACACTGGTAGATGTGGTCTCTGGAAGGAGATGAAGAGTTCATGTTTAGATGGGTCCCGTAACGTCCTGGTGCGAAGTTCATAGGTTTGTAGGCATTTAACCGGACACAAGAGAGGTTTGTCAGGAAAAGCTGGATATGTCACTCTCTTTGTTGAGCTTTTTGTTCTCCGTGATATATCGAAAAAGACCCCTTCCGGAGTGTAGGAACGTGCGGTGACGTCTAAGGCTCTAACGTCCGAGACCCGTTTGCAGGATATGAGACATAGGAGCATGACCAGTTTCGCCGACAGTTGTTTCAGAGACAGTGTTGCGTTATCTGGCCAAGATTCGAGGAAGTGGAGGATGATGGAGACGTCCCACAATACGGAATAGCGTGGTAGCGGAGGTCTTGCGAATCTAATGCCGCGTAGGAGTCGGCATATCAGTAGATGGCGTCCTATCGGTGCGCCATCGATGCCTTGGTGTGCGGTAGAAATGGCCGATCTGTAGAGGTTTACCGTGCGATATGCTTTGCCGCTTTCAAATAAGGATGTTAGAAATTGCAGGATCGAAGTCAGAGGAGCCGATATGGGATCCAAGTTCCGTTCCATGCACCAATCGTGCCATTTGTGCCGGGTGCCCATGCGCTCTCGAGAAGTTGGAGAGTCGATTCCGAAATTCCTTCGATTGAGTAGGGTTCCCGGAAATCAGCCACGCCGTGAGGTGTAGTAACTCTTGTTGAATCAGGGGATGGGGGGACCCGTCCGGGTCTTGAAGTAGGTAGTCGAAGTGTGGGAGAGTGCGGGGTATGTCTATCGCCATCTCCAACAGGGAAGGGAACCATGGTTGTGACGGCCATAATGGCGCCACGAGCACTGCCGTTCCCGTCTGTCGCCGTAGTTGTAGTAGGCAGCGGGGAATCAATGCAAAGGGAGGAAACGCGTAGTTCCTTTCGGAGGACCAGTCTTGGGTAAAGGCATCTGTTGCCAATGCTGCCGGGTTCGGTTTCCAACTGAAAAATCTGGGAAGTTGATTGTTCAAACGGGAGGCGAACAAGTCCTTGTCCAGAGGACCCCATAGAGACTGGATGTCTTGGAAGACCCTGGGTTCCAGGTGCCAGTCGCTGGAATCTCTGAGGTGCCTTGCGTACCAATCCGCCGTGGTATTGCAGAGGCCCGGAATGTATTCCGCTGTGACTGAAATGCCGTGTGCCAGGCAAAACTGCCAAAAGTCGTGCCGCCCAAGTGATTTATATAAAAGACTGCCGATACATTGTCCATCCTTAAAAGGATGGCACATCGGGCTTGAGTCGGTGAAAAATTGCGGATTGCAAAAGAACCGGCTAGGAGTTCTAGGCAATTGATGTGAAGCGTCGATTCCACTTCGGACCATCTGCCACCGGTGGAGACATTGCCACAGCGTTCGCCCCAACCGTGCAAGCTCGCATCGGATTCTATTATATCTGGTTCGGTACCGAAAATGGCCCGGCCATTCCAGGCGTCCATATGGGAGAGCCACCATCTGAGTTCTGTTTTTGCTTCTGTGTCCAGAGCGATCATGTCCGTGCATGAGGTCCCGTCTCTCAAATGGGAGGCCTGCAGGCGCTGTAGCGCTCGATAGTGTAGAGGGCCCGGGAAGATGGCCTGTATGGAGGCCGCCAAGAGGCTGATCACTCTCGCCAATTGTTTTAGGGAGATCAGGGGGGTCGTCAGAGTGCGTTTGATCTCCTTCTTTATGGTGGTCAATTTCGCCGCCGGTAAGTGTAGGGTCTGTAGAGTAGAGTCCACTACGAGGCCCAAAAACTCTATGTGCCGTGTAGGGGTCAGTATGGATTTTTTACAATTGATAAGGAAACCCAAATTTTGCAAAAGATTCTGAGTCCATGACAGATGGGTCTCGAGAATGTGGTTGGAACGACCCATGAGGATGTCGTCCAAGTAGATTATGAGATGAACCCCTCGACTTCGAAGTAGAGCCACCACGGGCTTCATGAGTTTGGTGAAGCACCATGGGGCTGAGGACAGTCCGAAATGGGAGGCAGGTGAATCTCCATTTCCTTCCTTGCCATATGAATTGCAGGAAGTCTTGGTGCTGACGTGCGATTGGTATCGTGAGATAGGCGTCCTGCAGGTCCAACTTGACCATCCAGTCCAACGGCTGGAGGAGTTCTCGGAGGCAGTGTATGCCCTCCATTTTGAAATGGTTGTAGGCAATAAAAGTGTTGAGTTGTTTCAAGTTGATCACTGGGCGGACGCCGCCGCCTTTTTTGGCAACTAAGAATAGGTTGCTTATGTACCCTGGGGTAGTCATAGGGATCTCTAAGATGGCCCGTTTGCGTGCCAATTCCAAAACCTCCTTGGTTACAAGGGAGGCGTCTTGGTGGGAAAACAGTATTCCCCGCGGTGGGGAGAGTTGTACCGGGAGGGATATGAACTCTAAGGTGTACCCTCTTACCGTGTTCAATACCCAGGCATCCGATGAGATGTGTGACCATGCATGGGAAAAATGTCGGAGTCTGCCCCCCACTGCCCATAGGGAAGAAGGAAATAGGAGAGCACTTACCATAAGGACGTCTGCCTGGGCGGGAGCCACGTGGTCCACGAGCAACCCATGGTCGTCCACGTTGTGGGAAGAAGACCGGGATGTTGCGGTGCTCCGTGAAGGAGGCGTGTCCAGTGTAGGAGCCTCGGCTCTGTCAGAATTAACCCCTATTGACACGGCCGGACAGACGGCTCCTGGCTCTTCCGGGCCCACCAAAAACCTTAGGTTGGAAAATCTTGCGCATGTTCGATTGCGCCTTGTCCAAGGCAGTGAAAGTATGGACAAAGGAGCCAAGCTCCTTGACAAAATTGTCTCCGAACAGGAGACCACGGGCCTGGGTGCCCGGTTCGGTTATAGCCATGTTCACCAGTTTGGGTTCTATCTTTAATAAGATCGCTTTGCGACGCTCTGTGGCCACCGCACAGTTGGCATTGCCAATCAGACAAATCACCCTTTGTATCCAACCACTTATGGCGGAACGATCTAACTCTTGGTCGCTTTCGACCATATCAAAAATTTTCGTTGCCGGGCCCAATATATCTAATATCTTGTCCTGGCAATTGCGCAGGGAGAAATCAAGGCCCTTATTAGGCTTCCAGCCAGTCTTGCCCAAGAATTGAATGATTTTTGGGTCAACTGCAGGTGTTCTGCAGGCCTCGTCAGGGACAGTGGGACGTGGGCATTCTGCCCGCAGCTTGTTACGTGTTACCTTATTTAAAGGTTTGCGAGTCCGCGATGCAACGTATTTGGCCACGTGGGCCGAAGGGGACCAGTCCGCTGACCTTGGATGACGCAGGTCATCGGGGTCGAACAGAGGTTCCCCGTAGGGGTCAACTAATCTGGTTGCATTGTCTGGGACCTTAAGCTCCATGTCATACGATTCAGATGGAGGCGTAATATGTTCTCTGGGGTCATGGTCGCCGACCACACCATCTGACTCGGGATCTGATGGATCCTCCGAATCCATATCGGTCTCCTCTTCAATCTCGCTGAGATCTGACTCAGATTCTAGTTGGGCTTTTGCTCGTTTCCATAACCTAGCCGATTTTGCCCGGCTAGTGGCTCTTTTGCGCGGTGGTATATTAGACGCGCCATCTGTGACAGGTGTGTAGCTGTCCATCTGTGAGATTGAAGAGTGTTTTATTTTTGCAGTGGCCTTGCGGCCAGTGTGAGTTTATGAAGGGGTTATTGCAGGCAAAGCCTGGGTAGTGATCGGCTGGGTCGATTTTTGTGCCCCAAGTAGAGCATGTGTAATATTCTGTGAGATAGATTCAGACATCAGCCCCATGGCTGATGTGAGGGCCTTAGTCACAACATGGGACATGGTGTTGTCAATCATGTACTGCATATCAGCAGTAGGATCAAAATCAGCGGGGATAGTCGCCCCAATCTCAGGTACCCCTGTGGGTGTTTTAACAGACCCTAAATTGGTAATAAGAGACCCAGGAGGGGAGGGTATATCTTTGTCCCCAGGCATATTGTGTGTATAACACTGGCACCACAAATAATTGTACTGAGCTGATCTAAAATGGGTTGATTAACCCAAAGAGAAAGGGGGTAATATACCTTTATGAGAAAAACAAAGTACTCACAAAAAACAATTACAGTCACAAGAGAAAGGGTGAGGAGGGGGCAAGGAGCCGTCCGATCGCCACTGTAGCTTTAACCCAACTCCGAGGTCCGGTAGTTGGGGGTGGAGCTACATGCCGAGCGCAGGAAACCAGTAAAATGGCCGCCGCGAGCGGTACTGGAGAGGAGAAATTGGTAAGCTCTGCTCGCGGTGAATGTGTAACGCTCAGCGCGAGTACACATGCACGCGCCGCGAGCAGGGAGCCGGCATCCGAGCTCAGTGAGCTCTACGGTGGCGGCTGGCACGGCGGGGAAGAAGAAAGGGGGGGGGGGGGCGCCATGCGGCTCCAGCCGACGTCCCCGAACCCCTGCAAATTAGGTTCTGAGGAGGCGACCGGCTGGAGCGGGGGGGGGCCTTAAAGGGGCGCAGAGGCCATGAAAACTCAAGGAAGATAATAAGGGTAAACTAATAAAAACAATTAAGGCATCAAATGAAAGGATGTACTACCAAATTATGCTATAATATAATATAATATAATACAATGCAATATAATAGAATACAATATCATATAATATACAATATAATATAATATAAAGTAATCCCACAGTTAAGGAGCCTGAGGGATCAGATATACTTAACTGAGGGAGCAGCAAAGAAAGAGGAACAGGATTGGTTGACAGAGCCTATTATGCTGGAGAAGTGGATCCTGATTGGCTGTTCCTGTTACTGGGAAGAATACACCTGAGACTGTTAATGTTATCATTGGTTATGTTTATAAAGTTTTTTTTCTTTGCTGCTGAGGGAAATAAAGAAAGAGTGCAGCATAATACTCGCCTCCGTGTCTTAATAAAATCACATTATCTCTCCGTACAGCAAAATATACAGTTTTACATTAAAAAAAAAAAACCATAACTGATATAATATTCAGACGAATGCTACACACTGCATATAAAATGAGCATAGTAACAGTTAGCAAAATATTCATCCAAAGTGTCCAGAAGTGGCTTGTTTTGCCACAATGCTCCCCCAGAACCAAACCGGCATACACAGTCTGATCCTAATGGATCGGCTTGTGGATGTCCGGAGTACTACCCATACAAATAGGGTTGCAGCTTTTTAAGGGCCCACACCACGCTGATCTTTAGGACACGGCTGAAGGTCCAGGTGAATAAAATCTGGAAGTAGGTATGCTAATGTTTTCCCTGTGCCCGTCTGGGCGATACCAATAAGGTCTGTTCCCTGCAGTATAACTGGCAAAGGCTGGGACTGAATCGGGGTAGGTTTTTTTTTTTTAAACCCGGCAACTTTTAACGCACTCATTACTTCAGGAAATGGACTGAATGCGTCTTCAAAATTCAAAATGGGATTGGGAATGGATTGCTGTCTATTTTCTTTTAAATCATTGCACAATATGTTATTATTTTCTTTTCTCCACTTTAGGACTTCATATATCGCTGCTTGTTTATTAGCAGAAGCCCAGTCAATTTGAACAAACTGCTTCTCTGTCACACGTGGAGGAGTGGTGCTCTTTGGGGGAATCAGGGATTTCGCAGTACTCTTAAACAGCTTCTTTTCTTGAACTTTTGACAAGCTCATTTATCAGTTCCTTTGCTTTATCTTGCTGATCCCTAGTGCCAAATAATTTGACCTCAGAGTCATAGCTATCATTTACAATTTTTATCCTTGCACCAGATAACTCTTCGAGTTCCTATATTTTAGCTCCTCCACGTCCTATGACCATGCCGACCAGTGAGCTGTCCAGGCGGAAACACAGCAGCGTGATGCCCCCTTGCTTCCAGGACTCTCTGTTCCTGGGCTGATCGCCATTCCTCCTGGATCCTTCCTCTGCCCAGCAGCCTCGGCCACCTGGGCCCTGCCCTCCGCCCCAACCTCTTCCATTGCCTGCTCCCTGTCTGTAGGATCGCGGCCTGCTAATGGGAGGTGGTACCCAAGGCTCACACTCTTCCTCCCAGTCAGACATGGTTACGATGTTCACTGTCCCACGGTTCCGCACTGCCTGATTCTTGTCTATACGATCTTTATATACCTGCAGGGAAGGATCTAGGGCTACCTCGCTGCCAAATTCTAAGGGGGCATCCCAGGGGCGAACAGGAGGGGTGTGGGGCAGATTGCCTACCTGAGCCTCAGAGTGATCGGATGGAGCCGTGGTGTGGGCCTGCTGTCGAGTAACAGGGTATGCTTCTTGGACAGTGGGTTGGGGAACAAAGGCGGATGTGAGCTCCCTCAAGTCGTTGCCCAAGATCACATCAGCTGGCAAATCCTGCATAATCCCCACCTCCACATTCCCATGCCCCGCTCCCCAATCCAAATGTACCTTGGCAGTGGGGACTTTGTAAATTGCTCCCCCTGCCACTCGTACGGCCACACAGTCCCCAGTGAGATTGTTCTTTGGAACCAGATGATTCCGGACCAGAGTCAAGGTGGAACCAGTCACGTAATCCTTGTATACTCTTTCCCTCCATGTGTACCACCTGGCAGTGCCCCTGTTGGTTGTCTGTCTGAGGCGGTTTGTATGGGGTTCACTTCGTGCAGGGTTCCCAGGGGTTCGTCTACGGATATGGCTGTCATGTGTGGGACAAAGGATTCTTTTTGGTAACAGTGTACCGCAGCTCGGTTATGGGGTGGTGGCCCCTGGTTATGCCAGGTTGGTCGGTTCCTGTTCAGTCGGCAATCTCTTTGAATATGTCCTTGTTGGTTGCAGGTATAGCAGCGGGTTGGCGGTCGTGTATTGTACCTGGGAGGGTACGAGTTGTTGCTTACCCCTGGTCGTGGATGGGCCGAAGTGGTCACTGCTGGAAGAGGGGCGGTAGACCCATAAGTGGACCGGTGTTGCCTGTTGTCTGTGGCTTGTACCGACATCACATCGTGTAGTATCCCCAGGGACTCTTCGGTCTGATTAAAAAGTATCTCCTGGGTTGTTGGCTCTGCTTGGTAGTGGTGGGCGGCTGCTCTTGGGTCTGGATTCTGCCGTACCTGGCTCCATGCTTGGCGGCTCCGGTTTTGGGTACACTCTCTCGCCATGTGGCCCCATTGTTTGCACGTATGGCACTGTATATTCGCTCTGCCATTATACCTGGATGGTGGAGTGTGCCCCCCCCGGGGTTGGCCGGAATGGGTTTGCTGTAGGTGCAGTAGGGGTAGCTGTATGAGGCTGAGCGGTGGGTCGAGGGTACCCTCGGTTGAGATTACCGTGATGCCTCCTGGCGTCATAGTGCTGGTCTGCTAGTCTTGCAGCTTCTGTTAGGGTGAGGGGTTTTCTATCTCTCACCCATTCCTGTGCCTCTGGGGACAGGCCATTGAAAAACTGTTCTAACAGCAGCAATTGCCGTAACTCTTCCATGGTGGTTGCTTGACTGGCTTGTGTCCATCCCTGGGAGGCTTGGTCCAGTTTGTGGGTCCACTCTGGGTGGGAATCTTTCTCTGGTTTGCGCAATCCTCGAAACTTGCGCCGGTATGCCTCTGGAGTAATGGCGTATCTTTCCAGTATAGCCTGTTTTATTCGGACAAGAAAAAAGAAAGCCGTCCACAGGCAATGGCTGTCTAAAAAATAGACTAGACCACTTAGCCTGTAGATGGTCACACCTTATAAGACACTCCAGTTGTGTCTTGGAGCATAACCCCTGATTAGAAAAACTATAAGATACTCAAAATAACTAGTACCTGAGTATCCACTGGAATAGTGAATAGTAATGATTCTATACAAAGTGAGATATAGAGATATATATACAATGAGGAAATACAATAATAGAAAAATGGGTCAGGTGAAAGTAGAAAATAACCGCCTAATGGCAAAAAACTCCCTTCCTAATGTCTCTAAAAGTAGATACTGCAGTACACAGGTTTAGACTTTAATATATAATGCTTCATAGGTCAATATCTGTGAGTGCAGGCTGGTATCAATACATCCAAAGAATATATAAGAGACATTAAGGACTTGCTTTTACCTAGTAAGTCTCAGGCTGTGGCATTATATAAGATATAATACTAGATTGCTAGCATATTGGAACATTAAAGGCTGAGTAAGCAGAAAAGTATAAATAGATACTATATGTTGGATCTATTGAAAATAATTCAATCGGTAAATTGTATCAAAAAAGTATCTATAATGTTAACTGCCATGTACTCAATTGCTAGTATATTGGGACATAAGTAACTGAATAAGCAGAAGAGTATAAATAGATACTATATATTGGATATAAAATAATCCAAAAAATAAAGTGTATTTAGAGTAGTATCTATCATAATAACTGCCACATATAAACTAAGTCCAAAATTATTGAATAGACAAAATATATCCACAAATGGATCTGTTATATAATATGCCACATATTAGGAGGTATAAAGCATAAGAGAAAGATAAAGTGAATAGTGAAAAAACAGTGTGCTAAATGTGCAGAGCCATGCTTAGAATGCTGGCTGCCTGCACATTGTGACAGAGTGCCCTATAAGTGAAAAAGATGAGGGGAAAGAAGACCCCCCCCCCCCTCCAAAATAACCCGACGCACTTGTTAGCCTGTTTTATCCGGGCATAATCTTTACTGTCCTCCCTGGGTACAGCCCGACAGACTTCGGCTGCCCGACCTGACAGTTTGCCTGCCAGTAAAGGTACCCACACTGCCTGCTCCAAATCATGCAAGTCACATAGCCTCTCAAAGTCTTGTAGATACCCATCAATCTCGTCGTTCTCTTCACAGAACATTTTAAACGCATGGTATGGGATCTTAGACTTTACCTGGCTGACAACTGAAGCAGTAATAGACTCTGCTCTGGGAGGAGCATCCTGCGGTCCGTGTGCCATCACATACTCCTGCACATCCGCCATCAGTACTGTCAGTATTTCCAGGGGTACTGGCTGGGGTAAAAATTCCATCCTGGTCCTCATTTCCTTTTGGAAGGGGGTTTCCTCCATGGCTGGTGGGGGTGTAACGCTGCGAGCTCTGTCTCCCTTCATCAATTCAGCAATCGGCACAGCTTTTGGCTTATTGCTGGCTATCTTACCCCTGGCTTCCAATAGTTCCTTTAACGTCTGCTATTTCAATGCAGTGTAGTCTGTCTCCATTCACCTCTGTGTTCGGTTCTTTGTTGTATCCGAATTGCCATTCACTTTCCTGTTCGGTAGTTTCAATTACCCGAACACCGCTTTTCGGCTGTAAGGTTGGATCCCGTCGCTTGCCACCAATTGTAGCGGA